CTGTGGAGCCCAACGGCAGTGGAAAGGCCGGAAATTCCCGCGCCGACGATGACGATATCTGGATTGCCTTCTCTTTCCATGGTGCGTTGATGATCTAAGGAAGCTCTGCTTTTCTTCTTCTCTTGTTTATTATTTAAGTAAAATGTGGAGGAAGATGGCAAAGTCAAACAAGGCACTCAGTTCTAAGCAGGCGGCTACAGTACAGTGATATCGAATCTTTTTATGTTATAAAGCAGGCGGCTCAAAGTAAAAAAATCACGTTGAGACCGAAAACAGATTTATGTTTACATAATCTTAGACTTATAGAGACAAAACACAATAATGTTTATTTGAAGATATCGAAGTTCACTAAAAAAAAAGAACTCAGGAGATCTGAAACGTATAAGGAGGATCAAAGGAGAAGCTGACGAGAAGCCTTGTGTTCTTGTAAGCCTTTCCTGCTCGATCGTGAAGCCGGACCGCTCTAACTCCCGACTTTAGTTCAGGCAAAGGAAGACATGTCTGTCCGGCGAAATCATTCTGAGTGTCACTGTCGAAGTCTTGGACTCTGAACCAAACAAGTGCCAATTCTGGAACAGAGAGCTGAAACAAGAACTCGCTCTTCCATATAGGAAACCACTGATCAACAGCTGTTTCCGTTCTGTAAGTGACCGTGTCTCTAAGAGCTCCTGCAATTCCAATCTTTACGAAGAAATCTGGAGGAGAGTATTGATCAAAATGTGTTTGAGGGAAATCCAAATCCCATCCTTCGCCGGTGTAAATCTTCACCTTGAGAGTGGTCTTAATGGGAAGCCTTTTGCTAGGGTCAAAGAGGTTATGCGTGTCTAGCAATACGCGAGGCTTTTTAACGTAGCCACATCCGCCATTGGCTCTGAACATTCCTTGCATAATCCATAGATGCTTCCCATGTCCCTTTTCAACACAAACTCAAACCATTTATACAACCAAGTGTCTACCTCAACCATATGTATATGAGCAAGTTACCGACTTACTTGCATGTTAAAGGCAACCATTTGAGCACCGTGTGTCCATCCAACTAGAGGATCGTAGTTCGACGAGTCCACTCTTGTACCCTTTGGATGTATCCTCAGTATATTCCTCTGTGTAAACCTGTTTTTTTCCAAGGTTCAACATTTTGGTTCTTCTCATCTCATTTCTATACTTATTTTTACCTTACAAGATCGGTTCCTCTGGTTCTAACTAGATTCTCTAGCCATAGCTCATCCATGCTTATCCGTCGAGGCTTCCCTGGATCATCACTCAAGCAATCCTTCAAACTATTTTTGCAGTTCCCAGCTTGAATCGCGATCAAGTCTCTATATCCAACAGCTTCACTCTCCGATTCTTCTTCATCATCAGGATTCTTGTTCAATCCTTTCCATGCCGTATTAGTACTCTGTCACAACAGAGAAAGAAAGGGTATAGATAAATGGTTGCAAAATCCTTCTCATTTCGCTTAAAATCACTTCTTACACTTGCTGGTCTGCTCCAAGAAGTTTCTTTAACCCTTGGAGTTGTTGAAGTCTGACCAGTTTGGCTCTCAAGATACTCCTTTGGAGGTTTTGTAGAGATGAGAATCTTCTTCTTAAGTTCTTCTGGTGATGGAATTTGCCTGGAACTCTCTGAGCCCCAACGAAACAGCATCCCTCTGAATGTTTTAGTTAACATCTACAAACATGAAATCAGTTAAAAACAAGTGTAATTAAATCACTCTTTTTCAAAATAATTAGTGAATCCTCTGTTCTGAAAAACAGTCTCACTTTAGCAACTTTCTCTTGAAGATTAGGTGGCAAATGATCTTCCAGGGTGATCACAACTGGATAATCAGACACATGGAACGCGTTATCCTTTATCGCGGTGAGACATTTCTGCAAGTCTTCATGCGATGTAAGTGTCCTAATGAGAACCAAAAACATATATATTCTGAGATAGAAACACTTTTTTTTTTTAAAGTCTTGTGGTTAGAAGAGTGATTTTAGTTAAGACCAACCCGCCATGACGAACTTCAGCAGAGTTCCCTGAAGGACTAGGCCATAAGTCGAGCTCGATCACTTTTACGCCTTTTCTCAGAGACTGCACGATCGGCTCTACGCTGCTTCTGCTGTTCACTTGATTCCCAGTCAAGTAAGAGTTGTGTCCCGTGTACACAAAGTAATGCGATAAAGGCGCCTTCATGTCATGATGCACCTTAACTCAATCAAGAACATACCATAAACCCAAATTAGAGTTTCACACTTTAAAAAATATGAAAAATCATTGTGAAAAATGTGAAACTTACCTGGCTAGACAAGGGAAGAGGAGAGTTGATATCACTAAAGAGGTAGCGATAAAAGGCGTTGAGATGAATAAGTCCATGGATATGAAAAACGTTATGGTGTTTAACGCTGTGGAAGATATCTTGCACGTAGTCTAGCCCTGCGTGCCTTTCTCCTTGGACCTCATTCACAAACCTTAGAAGGTCATCGGAAGACATCTTGCCGTTTCTTGAATAAGCTTCGAATAGTCTCTTGATGCTATCTGGTGGCTGTCTCTTTTTCTCCTTGAAGCTTCTGCTACAACAGAAACACACTTTGAAATTCTCCGACATTGATTA